TACTCTTACTGGATTTCACACAGTCCCTGGAGAGTTCTTAATGATGTGGGTTTGTTGGTTTTTGTTTTGGGGTTTGGTTTTTTGTTGTTTGTTTTTTTGCTTCTTTTTACAGGAGTAGAAATAAGTTTCCATCACTGGTATCTGAATTTTCCCTCTGTCATCCTAGGTCTTTATCCATCCCCACCTAGTATCTTCACTTCTGTGTTTTTTGCTGGCTTTCCCATCCCTTTCCTTGCTATTTTAATCTGTCATGATGTACCATGGACTGCTAGAAAAACAAACAGATTCATCCTGGAAAGGGTTAAACCGGGTGGCTCCTTGGAGGCAAGGGTTCTGAGGCTCCGTCTAACCTACTTTGGACATGGTGTGAGGAGAGACTGGTCCTTGGAGAAGGACATCATTCTTGGGAGGGTGGAGGGACAGTGCAGGAGGGGAAGGCCCTCTATGAGGTGGATTGATTCAGTGACTGGGATAATCGGGATGGCAGTGTCAGAGTGAGATTGGCACAGGACAGAGCAGAGTTTAGGGCTGTTGTACATAGGGTCGCTATGAGAAGCAAGCAACTCGACAGCACATAACAACAACAACAAATATGAGTGCAAGTAAACTGCCCATCTTTCTCTGTGGCGTGACTGGCAGGTTTGAACTGCTAGGGACATGCAACATTTGGGTGATCAGTGCAACACATTAAGATCTACACCATCATGAAGTCCATGGACCAGGTTGTTGTTGTTGTTATGTGCCGTCAAGTCATTTGCAACTCATAGCCACCCTATGCACAACAGCCCTAAACCCTGCTCTATCCTGCGCCAACCGCACTGCCTCTGACACACCCATCCCGATTACCCCAGTTACCGAATCAATCCATCTCATAGAGGCTCTTCCCCTCCTGCGCTGTCCCTCCACCCTCCCAAGCATGATGTCCCTCTCCAAGGACCCGTCCCTCCTGGCAACATGTCCAAAGTATGTCAGACGAAGCCCCAGAATCCTTGCCTCCAAGGAGTAGCTTGGTTTAATCCTCTCCAAGATGAATCTGATTGTTTTCCTGACAGTCCATGGTACATTCAGTACTCTTCTCCAGCACCACAGCTCAAAGGCATCCACTCTCCTTCTGTCCTACCTAGTCATTGTGCAATTCTCTGATGCATAACAAGCGATTGCAAAGACCGTGGCCTGTATCAGGCGCACCTTAGTCTCCAGAGAGACACCGTTGCTCCTGAGTACTTTAGAGAGGTCCCTAACAGCAGACCAGGTACTACTCTGATATTCACTTTGGAACTAAGTAAATGAAGATTGAGCAAAGGGAATTTTCCCAAGGAGAGAGAACAGCAGAAGTGGACTCTCAACCCTGACTTCAGACATATTGGATGAAAATATATAGTGAAGTTAATACTGAAATGGTTTTACTGGTGGTAAAGTAGAGAAGGTGTCCTGAGTGGAGCAAATGCCTAAGCATTTGCCTATTAACCGAAAGTTCAGTGGTTCAAACCTACCCAAAGACTCCTCAGAAGACAGTCCTAGTGATTTTGCTTCTGAGAAAGGTCACAGCCTTGAAAACACTAAGAAGGGGTTTTCATAGCCTAGTGGGTGAAGAGTTCTACTGCCAATCCAAAGGCCTTCAACAAGCACACTGGTTTAATCTTCTCCAAGACATGTTTATTTGTTCTTTTGGCAGTCCAGGAAACATTCACAACTCTTCTCCAACTCCTCAGCTCAAAAGCATACATTCTTCTGTCATCCTTATTCATTGTCCAGCTCAGCAGCACAGCAAGTGATAGAAAAGACCATGGCCTGAATCAGGAGCATCTTAGTCCTCAAACTAACATCATTGCTCCTCAATAATTTGGAGAGGTCTCTGCCTATAGACCTTCCCAGTATAATATATCTCCTGGTCTCCTGACTGGTACCAAGGGCATTGATTATAAAACAAAGTTGTTGACAGTTTCAATCTTTTTTTCACTGGATCTATTGGTCCAGTGATGAGGATTTTTGTTTTCTTGACTTTGAGATGCAATTGAACGTGCAATTGAAGGTTGCAGTCTTTGATCTACAGAAAGCACTTCAAGTCCTCCTCACTTTAGCAGTCAAGGTTGTCTTATCTGAATAATGATGTATTAATGAATCTTGTGGCAATCATGATGCCACATTCTTCTTTATAGAGGCCAGGTTCTCTTATAATTTGCTTAGCATACAGATTGAGTAGATATGGAGAAAAGATACAACTGCTTGACATACAGCTTTCTCAGTTTTAAACTATATAGTGTTCCCTTGCTATTTTCACACAGCAACCTCTTAGCCTAGGCATAGTTTTCTCATGAGTACAATTAAGTGTTCTGGGATTCCCACTGTCTCAGTGTTAGTATGGAGTTTATCTTTCAATATGACTTCTCTAGCCCTTATTTGTTGTTGGCTTCGTGGATGGGTAGGACTATGCAAGTGAGGCATGTTGGTTTATCCACAAAGAGATTGACAATCTACGATTTTAGAACGGGATTGGTCAGTCTCACCAATTTACAAAGGGATTGGCTAGTCTCACCAATAAATTGAATCGCTCTAGCCACAGAGATGGGATTCTTCTCCTACCAGAAGAGGAACAAGATCTCACCCAACACAGTAAAATGTAGGATACACTTCAAGACAGCTGCAATTATGGCTGGACAACTGACTGGAGACAAGATGAGAACTTGGAAGCAGGGGGAGCCAATATTAGTAGGACTGAGAACTTGAAAACACTTAGAACCATGATGCTCAAGGCTGAGGTGCCTGCATGCACCTTTCAGGAGCTATCTTGACTGTATTCTGTTATTAACATGAATTATAACCTTTTGACTTCTCCAATATGGTTCTGTGTGGTCTGTAAGCTATCACATTGGATTTTGGACCCACCAAAGCCGTAATATTAGTGTTGAGATGAGTAGAAACAGGTATGGGAGTGTGGGAAACATGTCTGACATCACAGGAATTGGTTTTGTGTTATGATGCTATGGGCAGGAGTAATTTCCCTCTGTGAAGTTGGTAAAGGTCAGATATGGTGGTATACACATGGCCCTTGATCTTTTTACAGTTAGCCACAGTTTGTTATGATCCACAGAGTCAAATGTCTGTGCATTAAAGTCAATACTACACAAAAAGATTGTGTGTGTGTGTGTGTGTGTGTGTGTGTGTGTATGTATTCTTTGCATTCAGCCAGGATCCATCTGACATCAGCGATGATATCCTTGGTGCCATGGACTCACCTAAATTCAGCTTGAACTTCTGGAAATTCCTTGTCTATATACTGTTACGGACATTTAAAAATCATTTTCAACAGTATTTTGCTTGCATGTGATTTTAATGATATTGTTCAATAATTTCCACATTCTATTGGATCATCTTTCTAGGCAATGGGAATAAATACGGATCTCTTCCAGTCAGTAAGCCAGGCACTTATGCTCCCAATTTCCTGGCATAGACTGTTGACCACGTTCAGGGCTTCATCAGCCATTTGAAATAAGGCAGTTGGTATCCCATCTCTTCCTGGGGCCTTATCGCCCACCCCCCCCAATGCTTTCAGTGAAGCTTGAACTTCTTCCTTCATTACCATTAGCTCTTGATCATATGGTACTTCCTGAAATATTTCAGGGTCAGTCAATTCTTTTTCGTACTGTGATTCTTGCATTTCATTTTCTTTTGATACTTCCTAAATCATTCAAGATTCTGCCATAGCATCTGTAAATATTGCAACGTGAAGCTTGAATTTGGGTTTCAGTTCTTTCTGCATGAGAAGTGCTGAGTGAGTTCTTTCCTTTCTATTCTCCAATTTTAGGTCACATTTTGTTATAATAATTTGCTTTGTCTTTTCAATCTGCTCTTTGAAATTTATCTCTTTAATTTCTACATCTCTTCTCCTTGTATTGACGTCTCCATGCTGTAGTGCAATTTTCAGGGTCTTTTATGACACCCACTTTGTTGCTGAGTTTTTTCTTTCTCCTCTTTGTAGTGACCCTTTGCTCACTTCGTGGATGATTCATTACTTATTCATTGCCGATATCTTTTAAAAAAAAAAAAAAAAAACAAAGAAAAAACCCTACAAACAGCGACTTTACACATGAGCAACACCAGATGAACTGAAAAGGAATCTAACTGACTACTTCTATGAAAGGAATCAGCTCAGTATCTGCAGTCAAAAACAGGTCAGGTGCTGACTGTGGAACAGATAATCAATTTCTTATGTGTAAATTCAAACTGAGTCTGAATACAATTATAACAAGTCCATGAGAGGAAAAAAAAAAAATTGAGTCTATCCTATCTGAATTTCAAAATCATCATTAAGTTTGAAGCCTGGAACAACAATGATCAAAGACCAGATGAGTTGTGGGATGACATCAGGGATGTCATCCATGAAGAGAGCAAAAGGTCTTGATTATATATGTAATGTTATAATTCCCAGTAAGTGTGGTTTCGAGATATTCTGTGTCAAAGGCTTCAACTGGAACCAAAGAGCCTGGCTAATATCAGCTGTCATTCGAAGGACGTTGACCCATACAAAGCAGCCAGCCAATCAGGACTGCAGAAGTAGATAACGTCATTTTCCTGAACGTCCTCACTGTTTTCAAGCATCTTTCACCACCTGACCCCTATTGGCTAAATGCTATCAGGGGCCATTTTGGATTCAGGCGGAAATAAAACTAAAACTGAGAAACAAAAAGCCTAAAAGCAAAAACAAGACACACTTGTACCTTCAGCCAGAATGTTCCTATAAGAAAACGTCTGCACAGATTAATTTACCTACTTGGAGCAATCAACAAAACTCGGGACCGGCGCCGGTGCCCACACTCAAGATGGCACCCTCCTGAGGATCACCTGTGTGGCCGCTCTAGCTCGGTTCCGGGTTCGTTTGCCTCATTGGTGGTGTCAAAAGGCCGAAGACTGGCTTTCTGTCCCATTTCCGGACCAACTCTATGGTGTCGGAGGGACTAGATTGTAGAAGACTGTGGCTCTAGTGACTAAAAGTCTCAAGGGGGAGGCAAGGGTGGTTGGTGTCAACACGGGGCGAAGAGGGCCCCGGAGCCACTACCCTCTGCACCGCCCCCCGTCGCCCTCTGCCAGGTAACAGGAGCCGCGTCCTCCGACAGTGCGGGACGGGGCCGAGGGGAGGGGGCCAGGCCGAGAGGAGGCGGGGGGGTCGGAGGGGCGCGCTCGGCTCTCGGGGCCGCGCACGGGCGGGCACGGGGGCGAGCTCGGCCCTGCGCCGGCTGCCGGTTGAGCTGGGCTCTCGGCCTCAGCATACCCCGCTCCCTGCCGGATCGCTGGCCTTCCTTTCAATCTGGGCTTCGCGGAAGACCCCCCTCCGCACCCTGGAGCCGCACTGGCGGCCGGAGATACCGACGCAAGCGGGGTCATCGGGTCCCGCGGTGAGGTGTGGAAGGTGAGGGACCGGAGAAGCGAGATCGCTGCCCCCGACCCTGAGAGGATGGGGGGCGGTCACGATCTCGGACCCCTGTCCGCCCCGCTGACCTCACTCCCCGCGCTCAGGCAACCACGGCTGCATTGCCTTGGCCCTGGGGTCCTGGGCTCGCCTTGGGAAGGCGACTTCCTTCGTGATCCCAGGCAAGAGCAAACTCCCTCGAGGCCTCGCTGGCTCTAGACCGCTTTTAGCTTTTTAGAGTAAAGATTAAGTACAGTTCTCGCAAGGGCATGCTTATGAAACCACGTGGATACTCGAAGTCCAGTCCTGAATTTTGTGATCACTCTTAACTGCTGTTGTAAGACTTTGTGCGCATAGCCATATAAAATCGTTAATCTTAGCAGAAAGCATACTTACTACTTTTGATCCATAAAGTCTTTCTTGTGCATTGCATATTCCCAGTGATTGATAACGCTGAGTTCAGTACAGGGATGATAGCCCTGAAACATATCGAGTTTAAAGGGTTCAGCGGATAGTAGAATATCACACAGTGCAGAGTGTCCTTAGAGCCCATAAAGCACACTCTTTGGAGTCCCCTAGTTAGGGAGTTCAGACGGTACAGTACTTAAATCAGCTGATTGCCAACTGAAAGGTCCCCTCTAGGTGTTGCTTCTGTAAAGATTAACCGCCTTGGAAATCTGTCACCAAGTTCTGTGTTCAGTAGTGTTGTAGCAAGTGAGAATGGAGTAGGGAGTTTAGTTTTTGGTTTGGCTGAGAAAAGAACAGAGATATTTCCCCAGATGTTTTTTAGTTGAATGCATGGATTGCACAGCGTCCTAGACACTGGTTCTGAATACACAGGAGGCAAGAAAACATTATGTGCTGCCCAAGAAAGATGGAGGAAGCTAGGGGAGTCGGTTTTTAAGAGAATATGAATTGACACAGTAACTTGAACAGCAGAGTTTGTGAGGATGGCATGGGGCAGGGTTTCTGTTGTACAAGGAGTCAACAGCATCTAACAGCAACAAATGAGGCAGATTGAAGTTAGAGACTGCCACGTCAGCATTTTATTATAGAAAGGGGAGATCATATATTCTGCAAAATACCTATACCGTGGTGTTAAAATGTCTTTTTTCTACTTTTATTCCAGAGCTACTCAGTGAGATTTTTTTCCTTTTCACCCTTACTCTTAAAAGCAACGAAAAAAACATTTTGTAAGTCTTAAGTGTTACGGTTTTATATTTCGGTAGATTAATTTCATTGCAATTACTATTTTTGAAATCTATGTTTAGATCAACACTGTCCTATCAGCCCAAATTTGGGCAGGTGGTGGGAATCCACCAGTTTCTGGAAGGGAGAAAGGTGGGCAGCTCTCTGAGTTTATAACCTCTCAAAACCTGAAGAGTGGAGAACCATGAGTGGATTCCAACTTGGTGATTATTAGAGTTTTTTTGAGATTCACGCTTTTTAGATAATATAGTGTATGAGAGATTAAACACTAATGCTTTTGAGATTCTCCTAAACTGTAATCAACAGACAATTTTAACCTTTTTATTGTGCTTTCATTGTAAGTTTACAGAGCAAGTAATATCCCATTCAGCCATTTGTCATGCTAGGAGAGGCGCAGAGAAAGGGCAAGACCTGTAATATGATGCAGTGCCTGTAGCAATCGACTTGAGCATGTTAGAGATGGTGGAGATGGCAAAGGATAGGGCAAGGTTCATATCTGTGTTCATGGAGTTTCTGTGAGTCATGGATGACTGGACAGCACCCAGCAACATTCATCTGTGGCAAGCCAGCTGGTCTGATAGAGCCTGGTGAAACCCTTAAGACTGTGGTCCTTAGAACATAAGAAGAACAATATAAAAAGAAAAGTAAAAGAATAATAATGATAATAATAAAAAGAAAGGTATATACTAGACATAGAATATAAGCCCATTACTCTGTCAACATTAACATGTTTCCAAACAATGAAACCTTTGGTTTTGAATTCTTTTAAGAAGTCGAATCATCTCTTCTTATATTTTAAGTGATATTCTTTAGAGTCCTATTCTCTAAATTATTTTTCTCAACACCTAAATTAATTAACTTTGTTAATAAATATCCTGAGTGGTACAGATTAAGCACAGAGCTGCCAATAGAAAAACTGGAGGTTCAGGCCCCCGAACCCCCCCCCAGTTGCCTCAGAAGAAAGGCTTGTCAATCTCCTTCTGAAAAGCAGCCATTAAACACCCTGTGGAGCACGGTTCTAATCTTGCTCACCTAGGGTCGCCTTGAGTTAGAATTGATTTCATGGCAACTGAAAACAAGAGTACACTGCTAAGGAAAATAACTAGGACGTGTGATGGCCTAGTGATAAGGAGTTGTGTTGCCTACTCAAAAGCAGTAGACTCATAGTCACCAGCTGCTCTTCAGGAGAAAGATGGCCAGTGTCCTGCTGTGCAATTTACAGCCTCTGCAAACCCATTAAAGGGTTAGCTGCTTTGTCATTTCCAGCTCAATGGTATGTAACAACAAGAAAAATTGCTTGTTTTAATGTCTTCCCAAAGCTTTCATACCCTTTTAATGATCTTGTTATGATATTTATCATATTAAATAAAAGCTTGACAGATGTTGTAAGACACGGTGTTCCCACAAGAAGTGTCTTGCTCTTGAAGAATGAAGTAGGTGGATTGACACAATGACTGCAGCAATGGGCTCACGTATATCAGAGATTGTGAAGATGGCACAGGATCGTACAGGGTTCATATCTGTTGTTCCTGAGGTCTCTGTGAGTCATACTCAACTCGATGGCACCTGACACCCTTATCATTACCTTAGCTGACTGCCATCTAGCCAGGCACTGCTCCTGAATCCGGGTAACTCATCTTTTCTCCTTGGAAGATTAATGTGTATCATAACTAAATGAGCTGAAATTTCTGTAAAGAAATTTTTCATTTATTTGCAATTCTTTGTTCTCAAGCTTTCACTTGGTTGCATGGTGATTTTTGTGGCAGAGAGAGAAGGAAGTTAGATTAGTTTCAAGTGTACCTTTTCCCCCTCCCCATCAAGAAGTAAGCATTTTATTTAGTGTTGTTGTTATTAGGTGACATTGAGTTGAATATTACCATATGAACAACAGATCTGAACCCTGTCAAGGTAAGAGCTAAAAACTTTAATGCTCTTTATGGTTTATCACTTACCTGCCTCTGCCTTCCTTATACACCTCATCCACGCCTCATGACCTCCTTTGTTTTCCTGAATTTTCACTTGCTGTTTTCTCCACTTAAAACTTTCTTTCCCAGTTTTTAGCTCAAACGTCTCATGTTTCAGCCTTACTTACACCTTCCCCTTTCTCTTATTCTCTAACTTGTAATCTCTTTGCCTTCCACTAGACTGTAAGCTTTGTAGATAGGAACCATGGTGTGAGCCTTTTAAAGATATTCTCCACAGCAGCTAGAAGGCAGTGTAACTGTAGTTGATTTTCATTGGCACTTTTAAAAAAAAATTGACTGTGCTCTAGGTGACATAGCAAATTAGTTTTCTAATCAGTAGTTCATCTACACACTGTTCTGAGATAGTGGTCGCTGTCGTCACAATCTATGTTTATTCCCTGAATTTGTTTCTATTTGTCCCGTTTCCCTGTACTCTCCTGCTCTCTCATCTTTGGTTTTGGGCCAAGTATTGCTCTTTTGGTTCAATATAGTTGATTGTTTTAAAGAACACATTCTTTATAGTGTTGTTGTTTGTTTTCCAGTCTTCTCCTGAGCTCTGGTGGCCTAGTGGTAAAAGTTGTGCTGACAACCTGAAGCATATGATTTGAGTCCACTCCACAGAAGGAAAATTGGCATCTCCACCTGTTCAGTTTACTGCCTCTGAAAACCCACTAGAGAGTCAGCTCTGTGGCTCTGCCAGTTCAGTTGTACACAACAGTAACAACAACATAGCCTTTGAAAGGTGACCTCTGGGAATGCCTTCAGTTTCTAGTTAGAAGATTGTATCGAGCAAGTCTTGGGAGTTTGTCTACTTTATTTTAGGAGAAAGATGGGTAGTCTCCTCCTGTGTGATTTATTGTTGTTGTTATGTGCCGTCGAGTCATTTGCGACTCATAGTGTGATTTATAGCCTCCTGAAAACCTCTGGAGGGTCTGCTGTGAGTCTGTTCTGACTTGGAGGTCTTTGTGGTCTTGATCACGGCAGTTGGTAGTGGTCGCTGGCCACCATTTCCTCCTTCTAATCTCTGTTTAGAGGAGGCTATAGTTCTTGTAGGCGAAGTCCTTTGGATGGAATTTTGCATAGTCTTTTTCTTCATTCTCATTTGCTCCAACTGAGAAGAGGCCAGTGGTGACTTCTTAGATGGCTACTCAAAAGCTTTCCTTCAAAAGCACTTTCTTCAAGGAGTTGTCAGGGTTTAGCTGGGTTGCTGGCTGTTCCAGTCTCCAAATCTTTATCTTTCTCCTTTTCTACAGCATGCCAGAATAAACTACCTTTCCCTGATTTTTAGTAAAAAAAAATTACTTCAAGCCAGATTTACTTTTTGGTCAATCTATTTAGTACTATTCAAGTTCAAAAGCATTAATTCTCCTATCATCCTTATTCATAGGAAGCAACTGAAAATACTCAATCAGATGCACCTTTGTCTTAGGCATGTGCATATGACATACTTATTTTGGAGAGGTCCATGACAGCAAACTTCCTCAATGCAACATGTCTTGATTTCTTAA